TTTTAATTTTTAATGTTAATTTTAAAAATTATTAATTATTAATTATTAATTATTAATTTTAAAAATCAAAAAAAAAAACTAACCGTTACAATTCCTTGACAATAAGCTTAAAAAATAAGGAAAATGTACTGCAATCTTCGTTTGGCCGTAGAGAAAAATGTAGGAGAGGTGGTCTAGATTCATGTCCCACTGCCATGTGGATCCGCATCTATTGTTCCACTTACAAAGTCACGCCACCTCTCTCACACTTGCTACTTTGAAGTGGTAATGGAAAGTAGAAAGTAGAAACTAGTACTCTTAACTCGGAGAAACATACATTCTTGTAAATTCAACTACAAACAAGTGCTATTGGGTCTTTATGTCAAAATAAAAATTAAAAAATGGGTTATTAATTTAAATAAGTGTTTTAATAATTTCTTGACAAATATTAACCATATATATCTTTTGTATTGGTCAACTTACAGATTATATTCAAATTATATTCTTTTTTTAAGTTGGCTAGTAATTTTATATTACCTGTTATACTACTTAAATCATTCCTAAAATCTTCAATTTGTAGAACTTATATATATATTTTTTCATGTTCCCTTTTTTTTTTGTCTTATATATCAAGAAATTAAATGAGAAGCTTTTATTAGTAAAAGAATTAAATAAGAAGCATCTTTTTTTATTTTTTGGCCGAAATAGTACTTGTATTCAAACCATCCGTAAAAATTAAAATTTTTCACATTTTCATTTTTTATTATATATCGAAAAATGATCAGCTTTGCTCAGAAAGAGAATTCTATGTTCTGCAGTGTCGGTTTCCAAACCTAGAGGAGCTGGTATTGTCACGGATTAATGTTGACATGATTTGGATAGCATCTTACTGTGTTGAGAACCTGACGAAATTGATAATTTTTGGCTGTGATAACTTGAAATACCTATTCTCATCCACTGTGGCTAGAAGTCTAGTGAAGCTTGGACACCTTCAAATAGAATATTGCAAGATGATGACAAAGGTTCTTTCTAAAGAGAATGAAGAAGAAAAGGGGAATCTGATTTTCCCTGGGTTGAAATTTCTACGGTTACAGCATCTCCAAAACCTTGTTAGCTTCTACTTTGGAGACTCTACCATTGAGTTCTCATCCTTGAAATATTTGGAAGTATGGAGCTGCCGGGAGTTCAAGGGTTTCGCAGTTATGTCTACAAACACAGACGTTGCAGCAGGTATTCAGCCTTTCTTCAACGAACAGGTATGTCTTCATTTCATTTGCATTTTGGCTTTAGAACTTTGGGAGCTATCTAATTTTCCTTATCCTTTTTCTCTCAATGGCATGGTGTGTAGTGTTTTTTTTTATTTTTTTTATTTTGTGGTTCTTCACAAAGAAATGGATAGAAAATTAGGAAGAAGATGAATAGCAGAATATAAACTGAAAATGAAGAGAAGTACAACACTTTTTCGTGTAGGCTTATTGACAAAACTATGCTTTATATCTAGCGGAAAACAGCGAGAAAAACAAGGCAAAACTCATTCTTAAGCTCCTAAACTTTCCCATATTAACTTGTAGGACCCTTAATTATTTTTAAGCGTATGAGCCCTTGGACCGCCCAGTCAATGCAGATTACCCCATCAGTTGACCGTCACTTGTCCGTTTCCACATTGCCT